AAATGATAGCTGATAAATGATAAATGACTGATAAATGATAAATGATAACTGATAAATGATAACTGATAAATAACTGATAATGATAACTGATAAATGATAAATAACTGATAAATGATAAATGATAAATGATAACTGATAAAGGATAACTGATAAATGATAAATAACTGATAAATGATAACTGATAACTGATAAATGATAACTGATAACTGATAACTGTCCTTTCTGAATGTTTGACTGTTTTTGTTTCACTTCATCCTAGAACAAAACATTTATAACATAATAACAGTTGAGCAGATTCTGGTAATATTTTCTTAGGATTCATTAAAGATCAAATGCAACTGGAAATTTTTCTCAACTTCCAGTATGAATTCAAACAAACACTATATGAACTTAACATTGTAAAATTTGTTTAGGAAATTTAATATTCAAGGACACCACTTAAGAAAAAAAGTGTTTAATAGGAAAAGTAAGAAGTGAAAAATGTACAAAAATAAAAACTACTGCGTCCAACTAATGACTGTGTATCTGTGTCCCTTGTCTCACGGGCTTCATCCAGAAGAAGACACAAGTGTTGTTCCTGCTGTGTCCGCTTCAGTTCTTCATGTTCATTCAGTGATGAAATAAGACTTTTCTTTACTGGACTCTTTTCTCTTTCTCTTCACTAGAAAGAAGAAACAGGTGGTTAATTCAAGCTACATACTGTTTTTGAATAAATGCAGAAAACAAAGAAAGGTGCAGCTAACAGCTATAATAGATATATTAATAATAAGAAACTGATCAAATAAGAAAATGAAAAATAAATTGATTTAAAAATAATGAAAATAATATAATAATAACAGTGGATATATGAATCAGAAAATATTATACAGATGCAGATATTTTTTATTGTCATTCGCACCACATGTGGTACATGTGGTGGATCAAAATTATGTACACAGGGTCCCAGTTACATCAACAAAAATATAAAACAGTAAACAGATCTATGATATGAACTAAGAAAAACATCAACTAAATATATGATAAGCACTAATAGCATAAAAACAATAAACACAATACGCCGAACAGCAGCACGGACATGAGTCTGTGTGAACAGACGAGCACGAATGAACACAGCAACATGAAACAGATCAGCAGCAACATGAAGCAGATCAGCAGCAACATGAAGCAGATCAGCAGCAACATGAAGCAGATCAGCAGCAACATGAAACTGATCAGCAGCAACATGAAACTGATCAGCAGCAACATGAAACTGATCA